AACTTTCCTAGTGTTTTGACTCTCGTTTGGGGGTTAACTATTTGCCCTGAGGTGGGACCAAAACAGGTACTACCACCCCAGTCAGGGTGGACCTAGGAACATCAGCAATCCAGAGGTGGTTTCCCGATCCTCAAAACTATCTATCTGACAGTCTGTCTATTTGCCTGTTTCTTTACTGATCCCAGATTATGCGCATCTATCTATCTATCTATCTATCTGTGTTTATCTGTGTTTATTATCATATTATGCGCATCTATCTATCTATCTATCTATCTATCTATCTATCTATCTATCTATCTATCTATGTCTATTTGACCTGTTTCATATTATGCTATCTATCTATCTATCTATCTATCTATCTATCTATCGCAATCTTTTCTTTATTTCTGTCGTTCTGTTCATCTATATCTTGAGCGAGAGAGAGAGAGAGAGAGAGAGAGAGAGAAAGAAAGAAAGAAAGCGTGTGAATGTTGATAGCTGACTTAATACTAGTTATCACCAAAGATGATTATCAGAGGAAACAGATCCGAACAAAGAGTTATGCATATGTCGTTGTGTCTACAAAGAAAAATCCCATTACATGCGTGGGCGCCGAGACTTGGTGAATACTGCCCTGATTTTGCTGACGAAGCAGCAAGCGACATTTCACCAGACATTCACAGTTCACATCAGTCAATTGAAGAAAAGAAATCACTTTCTTTTCTAAAGACACCTAAATTCCAAAAGCATATGCCACCTCAACACTCACCTGAGTAAAGTTTAACCAATATCTCTAGTGTGCCCAATCTATCAATCACAAAAGCTAAACTGTAATATGAGAGCCGTCGCCTTCTCTTCCTGTACGTAAAGCTATGAACAGTTCTATTATGATGTCCTTTTGGGATGCTGGTTACGTTAAAACATTCCAAGTAAGATAGATAGATAGATAGATAGATAGATAGATAGATAGATAGATAGATAGATAGATGTGCATAATCTGAGGTCAATAAACAAACAGGCAAATAAACAGCCATAGTGTTATGGTAATTTACCCACGCACGCATGGACTCTCGCAGCTATAAATAGGAGCAGGTACTGCCTTTTGGAGAGGGAAGTTTCCAGCAGTCAGCTCTGACAGTCAGACCAAACATTCTTGCTGTGACACTGTCATTTGTATATGTTTGTATTAATGTTTCTGTTAATATATTTGTTTAACTCAATTCCTCTCTTTGTGTCTTTGTTTTCTAACTCTAACAAGGCCACAACACATAGATAGATAGATAGATAGATAGATAGATAGATAGATAGATAGATAGATAGATGCGCATAATCTGGGATCAGGAAAGAAACAGATAAATACACACACACACACACACACACACACACACACACACACACATATATATATATATATATATATATATATATATATATATATATATATATAAAGGGTGTTCCAATAACTTGAACCGATTTTAAATGTGAATTAACTTTAATCGTCTAATGATTTTTTTCTTTTTCTTTCATATTTAACGATTTAAGTCTTTGGTAATTACAACCATTGAAAGACAACAATCAAACGTGTTAAAGTGTCAAAAGTGCAATTGGAAAAAAAGTTCGTAAATTCAAACAAACTAGTTCGGTGGCAGATGCGAAAACACCATTGCGTGCTTGTTTACGCCGTTCAGCTGAAAACATTGCTGCAATGCACGAGAATGTGGCCGAAAATCCAGACACTTCAATTCGTCATCGCGCGCAGGAATTGAACCTCTCCACAACAACGTTACATATTTTCTATATTGCACTCTCGATTGGTCAATTATGTTGACATAAAAAAATCGCGAAGTGTGCAAAATGCATTTATGTTTGAACGTCCATTTTCATAATAGGCTTCGATAACTTTAACACGTCGTTTGATTGTTAATCTTTCCATGGTTGAGATTGCCAAATTTAGTTGTTAAATCTGAAAGAAAAGAAAAAAATCATTAGACGCTTAAACTTAATTAATTCGGTCCAAGTTATTGAACACTTTACATTATATATATATATATATATATATATATATATATATATATATATATATATATATATATATATATAGATTGGTTTATACCGAATAAATTCCAATGACCAAAAATACTATTCTTAAAAGAGGGCTAGAACAAATATAAAATAAATATGTTATAAAATCACTACAAAATAGTTATTTTGTTTCAACACTTTGATATCTTATCAAGTGATGGTCTTTTAACATCATCACTTGATAGGACACCAGAAGTGTTGAAACAAATGCGTATTTTATAACATATTTATGTTATAATTTTCGAATAAATTGTATATATATATATATATATATATATATATATATATATATATATATATATATATATGAGATAACGCGATATATATTTTTATACTTCAGGAACAATACTAAGGAAAATGTCTGACAAAGTGAAAAAGTTGTCTTGTGACGCGTTTCATACTTTAGGACATCATTGTTACGATGGTGCAACTATTCTCAGCATTACCTGTTCCTGCTCATGTGCATAACAAACTTAATCTTATATATATATATATATATATATATATATATATATATATATATATATATATATATAAATTCCCAAGAAGATAGAATCCAGGTAGAACTCAATGTCCAGGACAGAGTAAGAATATAATATAAAAGGCTCAAACACTAATATCCCATGGTCATAATTTATTACATTGGAATCGTAATTCTTTTTGAATTTCTAGGTCTGATGAATTGGATCGTGATTATGATTCCAGTGTAAGAAATTATAACCATGGAATATTACTGTTTGAGCATTTTATATTATATTATATTATTATATATATATATATATATATATGTGTGTGTGTGTATAGATATATATTTATATAAATTAATTAGCTACTATATCTTTATGATATTCACTCCCATCTAATTCTTCAAATGTCGAATGCATAACTAATCCTAATCTCTATATTTCCACCCCACCTCTATAATCTTTTTACCTATATTAATTATAATTTATAAACTTCCCCTACTCTAAGATCTCACCCACTCTCTTTAATCACTTACATCCTTTTATCTATATATTTTAAAGTTATTTTAAAACCCATTTTTATTCCTCTTTTAATTTTAAATTAATATTTCATTCCCATATAACCCAAAATGAATGTCATAATGTTAATATTCGGGTTAAATTTAACAAAAATTCTTCACTTTAATACAAATACCTTTCGCTCTTACCTGACCCCTGCGTCGTGCCTTTCGTCTGAATGAAACATTGAAATGGATAATTTCTGTATTAGGTTTTCGATTGGTGATTTTTTTTTAGCTTTCACAGTTAAATTTCTATTTTTGGCACGAACTCACTGCACAGCGGGGTTGTTAAAACAGGCGACCGACATCTTCATCTGACGAAATAACCTATGCACCATATGAGGTGATTTTAAATTTTATTGTTCATTAATTATATATATATATATATATATATATATATATATATATATATATATATATATATATATATTAAATAAAGAACGACAACTTGAATTTCAGCCTCGTTCCTTTCGCGTAAACGTTACTATCATGCAATATGCATCACACAATACATCTTAAAAGACAACCGTTGAAAGATAATCATAACAATTATCATCAAAAGTCGTGAAAATGGTTAAATTAGTGAGAGAGACCGCTTGGTACAATAGAAACTACGGAAACTTTTAGTCCCTTACCCACCACCAATTGTCCTGAATAATAAAAAAAAAATAATTATCTATCATAAAAAAAAATTTAAGACAGCTGACCTTATCCTCAAAAATAACAACACGCCAACTAAGTCAAAATTACAAAGAACGAACATTATCTATGAGTTCAAATGCCCCTTAAGGAACTGTGTTCCTGATCAAACCGGACTCATAAATAATTGCATCAGTCACACACCTACATGCCTATCCAGACGTCTTACGTTACACCTATTTGACCGCAGCTTCAATAGAACCCATTTAAGCACACAAACAAACTTACCAGACTCCATTAGAAACATACTAGTAGAAAACACTAATATAATAACTTCATCCACCTGTAAAAAGAGATTAAAAATAATGGAAGCTTTAATAATAAAAAAGAAAAAGCCAACTCTTAACAATATTAACTACGAGCAAAGCCACAATGTGCTAACCGTATTCGGAAATTAAAAACATCTCTACAACACACTAAAACATACACATAATGCACACGCTCAATTAAACTGAAAAATCGAATCATCCTTGATAATGGCTAAATGTATAGCCGAAACCGCTCGGAAATATAAAACATTTGAACAGTTCTTACACACCTTTTGTCCAGAAAAGAAAGATCTTGTTCGAACACAAGAAAAATTAAATAAAAAGCTTAACCGTAGTACCTTGTCTATCGTTTTTAATAAAACATGCATATACATACATACATTATATATATATATATATATATATATATATATATTAGGTTTACTAATTAACCCGTAGTTGGGGGGGAAGCGGTGGATTCATAAATTTCGTAAGTGAATATAACAAACTCAACGGGAGTTGGAACTTGGCTCTCCAATAAACAATAAGCAATTAGCCATTATACCACTCGCACATCCAAGCTTATAGCACCTTATATTACCAAGCTGTCACCCATTGAGATATTGACCATGCTCGACATTGCTTAACTTCGGGAATATAATTGACTATGATCATACATAAGTTAACTTAGGTTAACCCTGAGCATCATGAAAGACATGAAAGGTTATTGAAGATATTTCTAATCTATAGTGTGGCTAATATTCTAACATATAATGGTCTTCTTCTAAGTGCTGTGTCCCTTCAGGAAGTGGGTGAACATGCCTCTCCACAACTTCCTATCCACCGTTTTTTAATTATTTTTTACTCTTTTTACTATCCCCCCCCATTCTCTGTTCTGTTATCCCCTTGTCTTCAGTATGTCCGATAAGTTAAAAATTTCTTTCTTTTCTCATTATATATCATAAGCTTACGACCACGTCACGTTGAAACATTGGTTTCCATACGATCCCCGAAGTTAAGCAACGTCGAGTTTGCTCATTACTTCGTTGGGTGACCGCTTCGGAATACAAGGTAACCCAACCTCGGAAGTGCGAGTGGTGTAGTGGTTAATGGCTCAGAATTGTTAATCCGAGAACCGAGTTCGAATTTCCGTTCGTTTTGTTATACTTGGTATAAGTCCATCTCTTCTCTCCCAAGCTATGTTTTGATTAGTTAAACTTGTATCAGCAAACCATTATTATCTAACCAAAAAGAAAAAAAAATCTTATAATCTAAAAATAATTTCTGGCTTTAAAAACCTAAGCTATAGAAGACGAGTCGATCAAACATTATCTATGCTCGTAATATAAGTAAGGGAAGTAAATAAGATTTTGCTAGTAAATTAATACGTGGTTACTTCCCTTGGCTATTTTAATAATCTATACAATTCTATAAGCCAGTTCCCGGGCAACGCTTGGTAGCTCTGATAGTTTATAAATAAAATTTGAAATAAGGAAAATAATATTAGTCCAAATAAAAATAAATGAATGAAAGAAAATGATCAGTTATTTTCAAACAATATTTACCCAAATATAATCAACTCCAACCTCGTAAATTTAACAAAACTGAACTAGAATCCGATAAAAGTCGTTACATAATTTACAAAAGAAATTTCCCGAGTTTCCATTTAAATAACTAATTGAGATCCTGAAAGAGTTTCTCAATAGAAACTCTCATGCTGGCTGAGGAACTCCTCCACAGATTCGCCCTTCAGTGTTCACCGGATAGAATGAAGGTCCTCGACGAATCCCGGATCTTATGCTTAAAAGATATCAACGGGTTTCTTTCGGCGATTACCTTTTTAACTTTCTTACCTGCGTTGAAACATTTTCACATATTATTGAACAATCAAGCTCTCAGTTGTTATTAATTTTTGGACATTATATCTACTTAATACATACATGGGTACACGCAGACGTACATACGGTGTATACATAATACATACATGGGTACACGCAGACGTACATACGGTGTAGGCTGAACATTTCATAGGCTGTCTATGAGGGAATGATGCTAGAGCTGTGAAATATTGCACGCATGCATTAATTTCAACTCTTCTTATTAATATCTGCAGTTTCTTTCCAGGTAAACTAATATCTGACTGTTTGAAAAGACTTCAAGAGTAACTAGTAATGGAAAAAAAAAATGGTATCGTTAACAAATGCCTCCAGAAGTACGGTTTAGCCTCCAAGTACATTCGTGCTGATATGGCTGCAACATTATGGGTTACCACCCCAGCTCCATCAACAGTGGAAAACTAGGCAGCTGGATTTAGGAATGAAAGGGAGTTTCTTGAAGATGATCCAAGGCCTGGAATTTCTGTAACTGCCATCATCGAGGAAAACATTGATCGTGTTCACCAGATGTTGATTGATGACAGTCGATCGATTATAGATCAGATAGCCAAAGCTACATCCCATGAGAAAGTTGAGAATGTTCTGCACAATGAAATTGGCAAGATTTCTGTTCTGTGGGTGCCACGTCAAAAGTGCACCAGATTGAAGACATCATGGGGGAAATGTGATATTGCTTGAGGCAGAGCCAGTTGGTTTTCTTGAACGGTTCTAAGCCCAAGATCAGTGTTGGTATCATCATTTTCAACCAGAGACAAAAAAAAGACAATCCACGCAGCAAAACTACCCGCCCTCTCGTGCTCCAAAGAAGGCCAAGGTCGATTTATCTGCAAGGAAGATGATAGCCTCAATTTTTTTTTATACAAAAGGCATTGTGTTCATTGACTATCTTCAAAAGGGCCAAAGCATCAATGAAGAGTATTATACCAAGTTGCTGAGGCAGTTACGAAAGATTAGCATGACCAAACTCCCAGAAGAACTGATGAAAGGGGTATTGTTTCATCAGGACAGTGCTCCAACACACAGATGCTTGGTTTCAAAGAAAACTTTGCGTGACTATGGCTTATGTGTTGGGTTTTTCTCGACTATTTATAAACACGGGTCACTAGAGCATTGTGTAAATAAATAAATAAATAAATAAAGTAAATAATAAACAAATTAACAAACCACTACCGCGAAAACAAGTAAAAAATAATCAATCCAAATAAATAAATAAAATAATAAATTAAAAAACTGACACAAATAGCACTTAGAATAGGCTACAGAAATCAATGCAAAAATTGGACGAAAAATAGCTTTAATTACCTTCCTAGACCAAAACAAACTAGCATCGGTAAAACGCAACCCTCTAACACATTAAAAGACAACAAAGAAAATTTCAAAATCAAACCAGCATGCAACTCATAAACCCAACCAAAAGTGAACTAGGTAAAATAATTAAAACGATACTAGAAAGTGTTGTTCATGATGACGGTCGTCTTCGAGTATAGAATCCAGAGGTTAGCAGTGAATATTTTGAAGACAGTAAGGAAGCGTAGTTCAGGTTAGCAGTGGATATTTTGGTAAAAGTAGCAGA